TGAGGAAGGCTTCTGCAGGCTTTGCAGGCCAAAAACTAGCCCCGTTTCGTCACTTCCGGTATTTTCGGAAAAACTGGAAGTGATGAAGTGGGGCTAGTTTTCGGCCTGCAGAAGCCTTCCTCAAGCCCCTGGGAGGCCGAAAAAGGCCTCAAACTGGCCGAAAATCAGCTGTGAGGCGCGTGCATGCCCAGTGAGGTCAGTTTGCCTGCAGCTAGCGTGTTGGCACAAATGGCTCTGTGTGCCCCCTGTGGCACGCGTGCCATAGGGTCGCCATCACGGCTTTAGAGCATAACATGCAGGCGTGGACTGCTGGGGGTTTGCAGGGGTTCGGGAGAGCCCCTAGCTAAGATTCTGCGCAGTTCGGAGAACCCCCAAATCCCGCCATTGGCTGGCCCCACCCACCCCTTCCCTCTCCTCCTAGGAGTCCCCACACGGCCCGTTTTGGGTGCGAGGTAAGTACAGGGCCTGCGCGGAGGCTCAGGGAGGGCAAAAAACCAGGCCTCCCGGAAGTTCAGGAAGACTGCATATGGGCCCATTTCCGGCTTCCAGAGAGCCTCATGAGCCCAGGGAGGGCAGAATATGCCCCCTGCCGTGGTGCAGGACGCTGACTAGGCCACGCCCACCAAGGGGCCTGCCCACCCAGCCACCGGGCAGAGAAGCCTTAAAATTTTTGAAGCCCGCCCCTGGTAACATGGCCTATAATATATGACAGGACATGTTATTAAAGTTGGTCTTCCCTTATTTACGAAAACCAAGTGGGAGGTTGAAATATATCTGAATTATGTTACTTATTTGAAGGAAAACTGGTCAGTGAGAAAGCCACTTAAATTTCACTTGAACCTGTTTTTATGCTGTTTCGACATTCTGAGTGGCACAGGGCAGAAAAATTAATAAATACGAATAATATCAGAGGAATCAATCAAAAGCATCATAATTTGCATAATCTGTAGCTTTTTAAAATATTATAAGCTGTTATTTCTTTCAGTTTAGATACGTTTGTGTGTGTGTTTGTGTGTCGGTATCATTGTAAATACCTAATAAATACCTAATAAATACCATCATTGATTTATGGCCACAATTTAGCCCAACATTTGCGTTGCTATACAGCAGAGTTTCTTCTTTTGAGTCAGTTTCTTTTCTTTTTACAATCTTTCTTGACACAGTTGTTAAGTGAATCACTGCAGTTGTTAAATTAACAACACGGTTGTTAAGTAAATCTCATTTCCCCATTGACTTTGTTTGTCTAAAGGTCGCAAAAGGGGATCATGTGAAACTTGTACCAGCAGGGGAAAAAAAACATTATCTCTGATTTTCACACTTATGACCGTCGCAGCATCCCCATGGTCAAGTGATCAAAATTCAGATGCTTGGAAACTGGCATGTACTTATGACTGTTGGGGGCCACATGATCACCACTTGTAAACTTCCCAGCTGGCTTCCGACAGGCAAAGTCGATCTGATTCACTTAACAACCGTAGTGATTCGTTTAACAAGTGTACTGATTCAACCACTGTGGCAAAAAATGGTTGTAAAATGGGGCAAAACATCACTTATAAACTGCCTTGCTGAACAGTGGAAACTTTGGGTTTGGTTGCGGCTGTGAGTCGAGACCACTCGCTGTGGGACAATTGAACAATTCTATTTAATTATTTAAAATAAATAAAAATTATTTTAATGTTTGCCATTCACATTTCATTCTGTCCTTCCTTTTACGTATTGTGTATCGTGAAGTACAATGTTCCAAAGTCTTTTTTGTTGTTGTTGAGCTCAGAATTTTATTGAAATGGATTATATCGGAAAACCATCACAGAATAACAGGGTTGGAAGGGACCTTGGAGGTCTTCTAGTCCAACCCCCTGCTCAAGGCAGGAGTCCTTCTACCATCCCAGTCAAATGGAATCACGTGATTCTCTTTGCCTCTTGGTTTAGCCCTGTGACGCTACCGATTGATCGACATTTTCTAAAATTCTTCTCTTGCAGGAAAGGTGCTCCAGACTACGGTGTATGTGGTTGCTACTGTTCTTGATGGGGTCATCTGTTTTCATCTATTACACCTTCTACTCTCAGTCGCTTCATTACAGGTAATTCAGCACAGACTTAATTCCCCCTATTGGTACAGGTAGTCCTCGACTTATGACGGACTCTCCCCTGCCACCCCCAATGTAGTAGAGGGTTCTATGATGGCCTACTCGTCATGGCCGACTCTCCACGGCCAACCCTCTGCGGGACAAGAATTATACTAATATCAAAGAAATGAAGGAATAGAATCATTAAAGCAAGGATGCAAAAGGAGGGACAGAACGAAATGTGAATGACAAAAATTAAAATAATGTCTTACTTATTTTAAATAATTACATTGAATTGTTCAATTGTCCTGCAACGAGTTGGCCGTGGTGAACTGGCCGTGGCGAACTGTCCTATTTCCAGTGTGCAGGTCGTCCTCTACTTATGAGGGACTTAGGATTCAGATCTGAATTTCCGATGTTCATCCTTCCGTTTCCTCCCCGCCCCCCCCAAGGGTGGTGCGGTGGCCTAAAGGTGGAGCTCTCGCCTCACAGTCAGGAGGCTGTGAGTTCGATCCCAGGTAGAGGCAGATATTTCTGTCTCTGAGCGCATTGAGAATATATCTGCTGAATAAAACTCCGCATTGGCAACAGGAAGGGCATCTGGCCAGTAAGCACTCAGCTCCATTCAGTTGCCTGATTCCACCCTGCAAGGGATTCTGGGGTCGTTAAAAGAGGATGATGATCCTTCCATCCCATCCCCCCCTGAAGTTATGGGATCACATTTTAGACGCTTGACAGCTATCATAATTGGGCCCTAAATTTCTCTCACTAAGACCGTTGTTAAGTGAGTTTGACCGTTTTACGACCTTTCTTGCCGCAGTTGTCAAGTGAATCCCTATGGTTGTTAAATTAGCAACACGGTTGTGAGGTGAATCTGGGTTTGCTTGTCAGAAGGTCGCAAAAGGAGATCACACGACCTCAGGACACTGCAACCGTCATAAATACCGAGTCAGTTGCCGAGCATCTGAATTTTGATCACGTAACCATGGGGATGCTGCCAAGGTCCTAACTGTGACAAAAAAAGCCCCTTTTTTCAGTGGTGTCGTAACTTTACTAAATGAACTCTTGCAAGTTGAGGTCTACCTGTATATGATGAAGCCACCAAAATGCCAAAAATGAATGATAATCGGGGGTGGGGGTAGGGGGAATAGAAGACAATTTTCCGATGGTCACTAAATGAACTCTTGCAAGTCAAGCACTCCCATTTATTTTCCTCCCATTTGGATTCCTCCACTGTCCGTATTTTTTCTTAACATTTCCAGGCTTGTTTTTGTGTCCCAATGACCCTAATCCTGTGCTATTTTTATGGTTTCTCTTCAAAGCTTGATCCTCTTAAATCCCAAGGTGGATTTTTGGAACTTCTGGGAGGTGCTCTGGATTGTGGGAATCACTGATTTCGTTTTGAAGTTCATCTTCATGAGCCTGAAATGCACCGTTCTCCTGCTGCCTTGTTTTATCATGTCTCTTAAATCCAAGGTAAAGGCACCGCTGTCTTTAATTTGATTTTAATTTAGCTGTCCTGCTGCTTTGGATGAGAGCAGGTTTTGCTGCCTTAACTCATTGGAACTAGGAGAAGATTCAGCCTGGAAATGAGGAGAAATTTTCTGACAGCGAGATCTATCAACGCGTGGAACAAAAGTTGCCTTCGGAAGTGGTGGGAGCTTCATCACTGGAAGCTTTCAAGAAGAGACTGGACTGCCATTGGTCAGAAATAGTTTAGGGTCTCCTGCTTGGGCAGGGGTTTGGACTAGGTGACCTACAAGGTCCCTTCCAACTCTGTAAATCTGTAAATCTGTAAAACTCCATTTCCAGGGGTGCAGATATTGACTTGAAAGTGAGGGGAGTGCATTTGAAAGGGGCCGTACTGGTGAGTCCTTGACGTACGACCACAATTGAGTCCAGAACGTCCGTTGCTAAGTGAGAAAGTTGTCAAGGAAAGTTTTGCCCTGGTTTTATGACTTTCCTTGCCACAATTATTCAGTGGCTCATGCCTTTGTTACGGTTGTTAAGTGAATCTGGCTTCTCTGCCACTCGCCAGAAGGTTGCAAAAGGTGATCACGTGACCCCACCCAGGACACTGCAACCGTCATAAATGCAAGCCAGCGGCCAAGCATCTGAATTTTGATCACACACAATTGTTGGGATACTACAATGGTCGTAAGTGTGAAAAACGGTCATCAGTCATTGTTTTCAGTGCTATTGTAACTTTGAACGGTCTACGTTCTTTGTGCTGGAAAGGGGATAAAACTTTTACAGTGGGAGGCAAATCTTAGCCCCCGTGGCTCCCCCCATCGGTAACTTAAATTGAGACCCCCAAAAGACCGTTTTGACATGCGGCTTCTTGAATTTTGTGTCTTGAAAATACTTAGCAGTCTGCTGTAAAAAGAGGAGGGCACAATTGAGCCCCAAATGTCCCTCGCTAAGGCGGCTAAGTGAATTTTGCCTTGGTTTTACGTCCTCCTTGGCCACAGTCGTTAAGCAAATCACTGCAGTTGTTAAGTGAATCATACACTTGTTAAGCCCAATCTGGCTTCCCCCATGGACTTGTCGTGTCAAAAGCCAGCTGGGAAGGTTGCAAAGGGTGATCCCATGACCCCAGGACGTTGCAGCCGTTGCAAGATGGCGGCCAGGGAAGCTGATCAGGAATTGTCAGCACCTCAGCAGACCAGAGAGAGAGAGAGAGCTGCCAGAGGCTCAGCCAAGCCCAGGTCTGCTGGTTTAGAGGCAGCAGCCAGAATTATTAAATTAAATTATTTAATTTAATTATTAAATTAAAAAACCACCTAGGGCAGACCAGGCGCAGACAGAAAGCCTTGGATAAAGAATTCAACAAGGCTCTGAGGTAATCCAAGATGGCTGACAGTAGTGCCATCGCTTCCCAGATTCCTCATCACTCTGCTAAAGAAATAATTCCCTCAACACTGTTCAATTATTTACAAAGTGTACACTACTATTACTGTTAATCTTCTCATCACTCCTTATCACCTATCCCCTCCCACTTGTGACTGTAGGACTGTAACTTTGTCGCTTGTATCCTTATGATTTATATTGACTGTTTCCTAGTATGATTTGATCATTGATTGTACCCTATGACTATCATTAAGTGTTGTACGTTATGATTCTTGATTCTTAACTAATGTACCTTTTCTTTATGTATACTGAGAGTATTTACACCAAGACAAATTCCTTGTGTGTCCAATCACACTTGGTCAATAAAGTATTCTATTCTATTCTATTCTATTCTATTCTATTCTATTCTATTCTACTCTACTCTACTCTACTCTACTCTACTCTCATGAGGCCATGCAGCAGGACCAATTGGCAAATACTAGACAGTACTTGACAGCCTGGTCACCAAGTGGCTCCGTTAAATCAAGATTTGCATGGAAACCTCCAAATTAGAGTCAGTTGCCAAGTGCCCGAATTTTGATCACGTGGCCACGGGAATGCTGCAACGGTTCTAAGAGTGAAAAACGGTCGTGTCATTTTTTTAAGTGTTGTAACTTTGAACAGTCACTAAATGAACTGTCGTAAGTCAAGGACCACCTGTATTGCGTGAATGTTTCTTCTAATGTTGCATTTCCGCCGTTTCCCACAGGGTTACTGGTATATGCTGTTGGAAGAGCTTTGCCAGATCTATTCTAAAGTGGTTCCTGCCCCTGTGTGGTTTCGATATTTCGTTGGCTTTAGGGAATTGGATGGCACCATCGGGTGGAGTTTTGGCATCTTGCTGGCTCTGCTGTACCTTATCCTAAAGGTAAACATTTGTTTCCTTCTCAGTGTCTTATCCTGAAGAGAAAGGGGTCACCCTGGGAGCAGAGTTTTCAGTGTTACAGGCAGTCCTTGAGAGGGATTTTGGAGTCCCAGTAGACAATCCCTTGAATAGGAGCCAGCCGTGTGCTGCAGCTGCCAAAAAAGCCAGTACAGTTCCAGGCTGCATCAACAGAGGGATAGAATCAAGATCACGGGAAGCGTTAATACCACTTTATGAGGCCTTGGTAAAGCCATACTTGGAATATTTGCATCCAGTTCTGGTTGCCACAATATAAAAAAGATGTTGAGACTCTAGAAAGAATGCAGAGAAGAGCAGTAAAGAGGATTAGGGGACTGGAGCTAAAACATATGAAGAACAGTTGATGGAACTGGGTATGTGTAGTTTGATTAAAAGAAGGACCAGGGGAGACATGATAGCAGTGTTCCAATATATGAGGGGCTGCCACAGAGAAGAGGGAGTCAAGCTATTCTCCAAAGCACCAGAAGGCAGGACAAGAAGCAGCAGATGGAAACTAATCAAGGAGAGAAGCAACTTAGAACTAAGGATAAATTTCCTGACAAGTGAGAACAATTAACCAGTGGAACAACTTTCCTCCAGAAGTTGTGAATGCTCCAACACTGGAAGTTTTTAAGAAGAGATTGCATAATCAATCTCTGAAATGGCATGGATTTCCTGCCTGAGCCCCAGAGGGTTGGACTAGAAGACCTCTAAGGTCCCTTCCAGCTCTGTTATTCTAAATTCTAAAATTACATACTGTAATTGAACCCACAATTTTGGTCCAGAGTCATAATAGTCATAAACTGTGACCCCATCTGATTTTACAACCTTTTTCGTGGCTGTCATTAAGCAAACCCATTGTTCGCGATGGGGCTGCAATTGCCAGAATCGGCAAATAAACACTGGTTGCTGGCAACAACTTTGTAAATCAGGGTCAGGTATCACAGGGCGCTGCAAACAGTCCATAAATGCAGGTCAGTTGCTCAGCACTCAAAATGTGGTCACACGACCACAGGAAAGCAGTCATTAGAACTTAGAATCCAGGCCATAACTCCCATTTTCGGGTCCATCGTAATTTCAAACACTTGCTAACCAACTGGTCATAAGTCGAGGAGTACCTGTATATGTAGAGGTACAACTTCTTTTTCCAGAATCCCTCTTCAGGCCTTAATATTATTATAATACTAGCAGGATACCCGTGGTTCGCTACGAAACTATGTGATTGGGCAAGTTTTTTGGAAGGAAAATAAGAGGGGAAAAATTCTGCCTCTGCCTACCAGCGTCCATCGGTATTCATCTGGCTAGCATCCTGTCTGTGTGTGAGAGAGTTGAGGGCTGTTTGGAAACTGAAACAGTATTTGCAAGAAGGGGACAGGAAGGAGCCTGGGCGTGGCTTAGCTCAACTGCAGTTGGAACATATTTTTCAGGTGGGGAAGGGGAGTAGAACTCCTTAGCATTAGAGCGTGTTAATAATAATATGCAAAATACTAATAGCTCTGATGGTCATTTCAAAAAATTCTTTCTTAGTGAGCCCCTAGAAGCCAAGAGGAACATACGTGCCAAATTTCAAGTTTGTAGGCTTTGCGGTTCTGGAGATTTTGTGATGATGCATGAGTGATATTTCGCTTTTATATATATAGATTATCTGTGACTGTTGATTCTTTGTTTTCACACTCGGCAGTTTGACTCTGGGTGTCCTGTAGGAAAAGGGGGAATTAACTATGCTTGCTTTTGCCTGAGAAATCCAGAGCTAGTTTAATGTCAAGTGTCCAATTGGTAAATCCAGAACAAAAAACTCCTGGGACATAATTTTACCGAGAAATTTTGGGCTCAGTTGTGGTCGTAAGTCAAGGACTCCCTGTAGAGGATAAAGTCACACCCACTACTGGATTTTGGATTCCTGCTGTGATGGAGTTGTTCTCCATTTTCTAGGTAAGGTTAACTTCCCAGTTTGGCCTATACAGGTTAGTCCTTGAGTTACGACCACAGTTGAGGCCAAAAAGTCTGTTGCTGAGGGAGACATTTGTTAAATGAATCTTTTGACGAACTTTCTTGCCATAGTTGCTAAATGAATCATTGTGTCAACTAAAAAAATACTCCTTTGGTCTTTTTAGTTGCCAGCAGAAAGGGAGTGGGGGAAAGCAGTGCGTTCCTTAAATGCCTCAGATAATCGCCTTGGCAGCCCAAAGCTGTCAGCACACAAGAATATTGCTGGAGAGCATGATTGATGACTCTTGGCTATGGATGTGTCCCATTGGAGAATATACATCCAGGAGATGGGGGGGTCAAGGGTGAAATGAATGATGTGCCTTAGTGTCGGCTGCACCCAGGCAACACCAACATGGTCACTCCTAATGAATCAAATTTTTTTTACTCTGAAAGATGCAGCTAGAGACTTATGATTTGAATGGGGGTAGATTTGTTGGAACCCTGACACATTGCAATTGTTAAGTTAGTAACACCGTTGTTAAGCGAATCTGGCTTCCCCATTAACTTTGCTGGTCAGAAGGTCCTAAAAGATGGATCATGTAACTCCAGGATGCTGCAACCGTCATAAATATGAGTCAGCTGCTAAACGTCTGGATTTTGATCATGTGACCGCGGGGATGCCGCAAAGGTCGTAAGTTTGAGAAATAGTCATAAGTCACTTTATTCAGTGCCGTTGTAATTTTGAACAGCCACTAAACGAACTGTGGTAAACTGAAGACGATTGTGTACTAGAATTTCGATGTGGTCTCCCATCCCAGAAACCCTTGCTTCATTTTCAAGCCCTGTGAGGTTGGCCTGATGTAGAATCTAGCATGCTAAGAAGCACATGTAGCGACTGGATTTTATGTGGTCTAAGCTTATAGGGACATGCCTATTAAATTTAATAATAGTTGCATGACACTTAAGCACTTCAATTGCTTCCAAGAAATGCTTTGAGTCTGAAACGCCAAGTGAACTATTATTATAGGACAGACCGTAATTCTTTTCTCTCCTGTTTGCTTTCCAGCTTTTGAGTTTTTTTGCACAACTGAAAAACTTCAGAAGGGTCTTACGGATATTTTTTACACGACCGGTGAGTATTTTTTTTAATCAATTTTTTTTTATTTTTCAATATAAACATACATATTTTGTCGACATTGTGCTGACTGGGTCAAGTCTTTTTTAAACAACAGTAATAATAATAATACAAATAAGTATGTGTTATTCTAATCTTCAACAATGCTAGTCTCTTTTCATAATCCATTTATCATTTTCCCATTAATTCATTTAAACATAAATAACATTTCTTTGCACCCTGTATTTGTTATCCCTAAATATTATTATTTAATATTTTTTAAGAATTACTCATTCCACCATAACTTCAGTATTCCAAATGTGTAGGATTACTAATAACACCAAATATTAACAATATTTAATCATTCCTGGGAGTTATCTCAAAATCCAACATAATTTCTAGTCCTTAATATTTTAAATTCACAATACACTTTAACACACTATTAATAAAACAGTTTAATTACCTAATCCTAAATTCCCATCTACTAATCTTAACTTATTTGGATTATATTATATTATATTATCTGTAAATTATATTATCTGTTGATGTATATACTATTATTTTCCCTTCATGTATTTTCCCATTTTATTAATATTTTCTCATTATCCATCATCTCTTAACCTTTTTAAAGTTCCATCGTTTATTGCTTTTTTTAGTCAGCCTAAACCAGTGAGTATTTGTATGCTCTAAAAAGAATAACAGATAGTCCTTGACTTATGACTGCAATTGAGCCCAATTTTTTTTTTTTGCTAAAACAGCAACTGTCAAGTGAATAACAACTGCTAAGTGAATCAGTTTTCCTACAACCGTGGGAAAAAAGTCACAAAATGGGGCAAAACTCACTTAATAAATGTCTCACTTAACAACAGAGATGGGCTCAATTGTGGGTGTAAATTGAGGACTACCTGTATTAGGTCAAGCTATCCTTAAACAGGCAGCAAACTTCACACTCCCTTGTACTGATGATGTTATCTAGTTGGGTAAAGAAATGTCTGCAAGCAAACAACCAAACTCAGAGAGCCACTAGAATGCCACGAGAATTGGCGTTAATTCTGTCCCAATGGTTGTGGTTCTTTGCGCCATATTTTATAGGATTATAAATACTAATATACTTCTTGGTATCTATTAGTTTTGAGACAGAAGTTTTGATTTTTTAAAATCATGGTCATAGATGTCTTGCTCAAAATGTAAATAGAGGGCAATGTTTAAAGAGGCATGAAAGCAGTTGTTGGAAGGAAGGACTTGCTCCGTCTGAGCTTTGCTGTATAGCCTTCTGATTAATTGATTGATTTACTCATTGCATTGTTAGAGCTGCCCATCTCACAGAAGGTAACCATAACAGCAAACAATTAAAATTCTGAGTATTGCACAGATATGCGTGCTGTGTTTTCTCTCTCTCCTGTAAACATAGAGCCCTGTGTTAACAAAGAAGCTGGCAACTGTTGGGTACTCTCTGAGCTTGGTGGTTTTCCTGCAGACGTTTCATTACCAAACTAGGTAACATCATCAGTGTTAGTAGCTGGCAACAGAAAGTCTTCTCTTTTTATAGAAATAAAATTAGTCATACCCACACAGTTGCTTTGAAAAAGTCCAGAAATGTATGGGGCCAAATCCTTGGAGCCTTTTCTGATCTTTGTCCAGGAAGATCTGCTCTCTAATTTTTTTAATTGAGGCTGCAAAACGATCCAAAAATAAACCTGGGTTTAAGGTCAGCAAAAGAGCAGGATAGCTCTGGGTCAAAACGGCAAAGTAAATATGCTCTAAAGGAGAGTATCTGTAGTTCAAGGTTGCAATGAGGGGACCTGGGTGATCTCAGCACTTGGTGGCTTTCTTGCAGACGTTTCATTACCCAAACTAGGTAACATCATCAGTACTGGAAGGGAGCGGGGTTTTGCGCTGATGTTGTAACCTAGTTTGGTAGTGAAACGTCTGCAAGAAAACAACCAGGCTCAAAGAAAACCAAGGACCCTTGAATACTCTCTCTCTTCTCTAGCACCTCTGACATTATTTCACCCTCTTTCTCCTCTTTCTCCTCTTTCTCCTCCTCGCTTTGCAGAGCTACGGCGTGGTGGCCAGCAAGAGACAGCGTGCCGAAGCAGACGATCTTTGTGCCATTTGTCAAGCTGAATTTCAGAAGCCGGTTGTCCTCCTCTGTCAGGTAACACTCAGCGATGAAACTCTTGTAAGCTACACCTTGTGCACATGCACTGAAGACTGCATGCCCATTTTTCATTGTAACAGCACTTCCGTAACAAGTGAAACCTTCATCCGCTTAATGTCTGTGGAGATTCTCAGTCCTCCAGGTCATGGTTGACCCCAAAGGTGCTTTTTTCAAGAGGCAATTAGATTTTCTGGTTTTTCTTTGAAGACGTTTCGCTTTCGCATCCAAGAAGCTTCTTCAGTTCTGACAGGATAGTGGAGAACGGAAGGATTTATATTCCTTGCAGGCAGCTGGTTATTTGCGTCCTTTTTAGGGAGTCGTTGAGGCCACTTGAAGATTTATCTGTGTCCTCAGGGTCACCTGAGTGGTGCAAATGGGTGTGGAGGCTTCTTGGAACTGCTGAAAGGACTCTGTTGTAAAGTGGAGATAGGTGATATTGTACCCCTCCCCTTCTGTTGAGGGAGGGGTGTTCAACTTGGGAATAAATGGCCTCTTTGACCCCTCTTTCAAACCAGCAGTCCTCCCTGTCCAAAATGTGGACTTTGCTGCCTTCAAAAAAGTAGCCTTTCAGACGCTAAAAGGATGCAAATGTCCAGCTGTCTGCAAGAAATCTAAATCCTTCCCTTCCCCACCATCCAGTCAGAGACAAAGAAGCTTCTCGGATGAGAAGCGAAACGTCTTTAAAGGAAAAAACCAGAAAGTCCAGTTGCCTCTTGAAAAAAATAGCACCTGTGGGACTTCAGCCCCTTGGTTATTTAATCGGTCTTGCAAATATTGGGGGATCCTCTTAAGTCTGAATGTTTGACCTTAAAAAGCATCGTGTTACCAGATCTGAAACTGAGTTTTAAGACATAGAGGAAGTATCTGAAAGCTTTTTGAAATCCCGTTAAAGGTAACCCTCCACTTTTAACCCTAATGGAGCCTGTTCGTTATGGTCATAAGTCGTAACAGTCCTAAAGTGGGTCATCCTGATTTTATGTCACTTTTTAAAAAATTGAATCACCGTGGCCGTTCAGTGGATGCTGTGATCGTTCGCTATGGGGTGTTTCTGTGCCGAAAAGCGGAAGTAAATACCGATGTTGGGCAAAAACATAAATCATGGTCACGACTGTGGGATACTGCAAACAGTGCCTGGAATGTGGTCATGTCACTGGCAATGTGTGTGTGTGTGTGTGTGTGTGAGTGAGGCCAGCTGTTGTAACTTCAGAAGTTGGTCGTAAGCACCTTTGGGGGGATTTGTCATAACGTCAAACTGTTGCTAAGTGACTGGTCATAAGTCAAGGACTACCTTTAGGAAGTTCAGCATAACGGCAGAGAGAACAACAGAGTGACAGAGTTGGAAGGGACCTTGGAGGTCTTCTAGTCCAACCCCCGGCTCAAGCGGGAAACCCTATGCTGTTCCAGACAAATGGTGGTCTGATCTCTTTGACAAATCTCTTTGGCAGAGATTGACAAATCTCTTCCTGAAAGCCTCCAGTGATGGAACACCCACAATTTCCAGAGGCAAGTAGTTCCACTGGTTAATTGTTCTAACTGTCAGGAAGTTTCTCCTTAGTTCTAGGTTGGATCTCTCCTCCATTTTCCATCCGTTGCTTCTTGTCCTACCTTGAAAGAGAGGGAGATCTAGTTAGTCCCCCCCTCTTCCTTTGATACTCCCGGGAATCATGCCAGCATACAGAAATGTTGACCCTGCCCTATAAAACTGCATGCATTTCTAAATCGATATTTTTCTTAACCAGGGAGGTGCAGTGGCTCAGTGGTCAAGACATTGGCCTTGTTGGCTTGCCCAATTGGGTTTGAAACCCGAGCGTCGTGCTACAAGATTGAGCTCCCATCCTCACCCCAGTTCCTGCCAACCTAGCAGTTCGAAAGCATGCAAATGCGAGTAGATAAATAGCTACCACTTCAATGGGATGGCAACAGCACTCCGTGACATCATGCTGGCCACATGACCATGGAAATGTCTTGGGACAGCGCAGGCTCAATGGCCATTGAAACGGAGATGAGCTGCATCCCCCGCAGAGCCAGCAAGAATTCCATTAAAATCCTTAGTAAAAAAATAAAAATACCTTTATTTTTCTTAACCGTTCTGAGGAGATTGGAGTTTGTTGGCTGCTGATTCAAAATTGCTCTGCGAGGATGATGGGGGAGGAGATGCTTCAAAAGAGTTTGCCATTCAATTCTTCATGCATTCATCAATTTGATTTAGAGCTGAGCACACCCGCTACCGGTTGAGTAACAGTTAAGGGTGTCAGTGAAGATTCCCACTCATCCAGGTAGAGTTTTCTGGAAGTTAAGACAACTAGAACTTTTTTTCTTGCTGGTTGGCTTATCCAACTGCTGCTTATCCAACTACAGGTCGTCCTCAACTTACGACTACCCTTGAGCCCAACATTTCCTTTGCTAAGGGAGACCTTTGTTCAGTGAGTTTTGCCTCGTTTTACGACGTTCCTTGGCCTGGTTGTTAAGGGAATCCCCTGCAGTTGTTCAAGTTAATGACACGGTTGTTAAGCAAATCTGGTTTCCCCGTTGACTTTGCTTGTCAGAAGGTCGCAAAATAGGTTCGTACAGTTGTGGGACGCTGCAACCGTTATAAATACATGCCAGTTGCCAAGTGCCTGAATTTGGATCACGTGACCATGGAGAAGCTGCTTCGGTCAGAAGTGTGGAAAATGGTCGTGTCAGTTTTTTCAGTGCCTTTGTAACTTGGAACAGTCATTAAATGGATTGTTGTAAGTCGAGGTTATTGATCGCTTCTTTGGCCTGAGCAAGAAGGTTCGGGGTGTTCTGACCTAGGCTTCACAAAATCACGCAGCAGACTCCTTATCCCTACAAAACCCCTTTTATTTAGGCTAATGTGAATTCCTATCATTCACATCCAGCAAAGTCCCGGCAAACATTCTTTCAAGGGTGAATTGCAACCACAGACCTTATCTGGCTTGGAGAATTGCCAGGGCGATAGCTTCCAAGCGCAACGCTGTACAAGGAAATGCTTGGCAAGGAGTCTCTGTGAGTCACGAACAAAACTTCACACTAATTAAACGAACTAATTGTCTCCTGCAAACACCACTCCCCTTTTGCTCTTCTTTATTCCCTAAGGGAGGGGCCATTCATGGCCCACCTGAGCCTTTACTCCCAAGTCGACCCTTGTTCCTTAACTGTTCCCTTCTCCTGGCAGCTCTGTGCATGTGCACATCGGGAACAGGCTCCAGCTGCTCTTCTGCCCCACTGATCTCCAACTCCAAAGGCAGCTGATAACTGTCGGACAGTCCTGGCCCCATCTCTGCCTCTGATGCAGAGCCCTTGTCAGAGCCTTCCCCAGACTCCAGGACTGGCCCATGTTCCTCCCCAACCTCCTCACTGTCTGATTCTGCCACCAGCTCCGCTGGCTGCTGGTGGGCCACAACAAGGGGGACTCTTCTTGGAGGACATATTTCGGGTCCCTCTAACCAATTTACTCAGACTGAAGAAGCTACTAGGATAAGCAGTGAAATGTCTTGAACTAACAAGAAAACGAAGTCGTTGCCATGACTCAACTTCCAGATAATGGTTGACTACAAACAGCTTTTTCAACCACACGTAGCCTAGAATCCATGTTTAGATATAAGAACGGAGTCAACCGAGCCCTTTACAAAGTCCTCGAATTACAAGTTCATTTAGTGACCATTCAAAGTTAGAATGGCACTGAAAAGTGTCTTAAGACCACTTTTCACACATTCTTTGCAGCGTCCCCACGGTCACGTGATGAAAATTCAGATACTTGGCAACTGAAAGTCACGTCGTATTTTTGACGGCAGCAGTGTCCCAGGGTCACGTGATCCCCTTTTGTGACCTTCTGACCAGTCAATGAAGGGAAGCCAGACTCCATTCTCAACCGTGTTGCTAACTTAACAAGACAACCGCAGCAAGAAAGATCGTAACATGGAGCAAAACTCATTTAACTCTTTTGCTTAGCAATAGAAATCTTGGACTCCACTGTGGTCGTAAGTCGAGGACTACCTGTAGTCATATTCCTAATGTCTATGAAGATTCTCAGTCCTTCAGGTTATGGTTGTCCCAAAGGTGCTTTTTTTCAAGACGCAACTGGACTTTCTTGGTTTTGCTTTGAAGACGTTTCGCTTCTCATCCAAGAAGCTTATTCAGCTCTGGCCGGATAGTGGGGAATGGAAGGATTTATATTTCTTGCAGATAGCCGGTCATTTGCATCCTTTTAGAGAGTTGTTGAGGCCACTTGGAGGTTTATCTGTGATATAGGAGAACAAACCGATCAGGACAAGATTCAGCATTTAAAAGACAAAAGCCACCCTTGAGGACAACAAAGTCCACTGAGGACCACTAGTTTGAAAGAAGGGTCAAAGAGGCCATCTATGTCAAAATAGAACGGTCTTCTTTCAACAGAGGACTAGGGGTAGGACATCATCTCTCCTGTTTAGAACACAGTCCTTTCAAAGTTCCAAGAAGGCTCCACACCTATTTGCACCACTCAGGTGACCTTGAGGACACTGATACACCTCCAAGTAGCCTCAACGGCTCTCCAAAATGAATGCAAATGACCAGCTGCCTGCAAGGAATATAAATCCTTCCATTCCCCACCATCCGGTCAAAGCTGAAGAAGCTTCTTGGATAAGAAGCGAAACGTCTTCGAAAGAAAAAAAAAAACCAGAAAGTCCAGTTGCGGGGGGGGGGGGGGGGGGGGGAGCACCTTCGGGTCATTTACCTCATGTTTGCATGCTCCTCTAACCAAAGCAATCCCTTCTCTTTCCAGCACATATTTTGCGACGAGTGCATCGCTCTGTGGCTGAACCGGGAAAAGACGTGTCCCCTCTGTCGAACAGTCCTTTCCACTCACGTGAACAAGTGGTATGATGGCGCAACCTCTGCACAATTGCAACTCTATTAAACAAACTAAAAATAAAAGTGGCTGTGTGCTTCACAATATAGACTCATTTGAGCACCAGGCGTGCGCGTTGTAGAGGACATGACTGGAAGGAGGAGAGAGGGACACAGAAGGAATAGTGCTTTGTTCTCTCCACTGACTCTATTGGAATTCGTTCAGATTCTTACAGCCTGTATCCTACTTAATTTTTCATATGCTGCTGCTGGGAAATTCTCAAATTTCTGAGTATCTAAAGATTATTTTTTACCGTCTACCAAATCAGCAATGGGGATACCTTGACTGCCTTCCAGTATTAACATCTGGTGTGTGCAAACTTTAGATTCTGAGGTACAAAATCCACCTTGTAGGATTTGGCATTATCGGGGCGCTTCTACTCATTGTACCTGGCCGTCACACAGCAAGAATCATGGAATCGTTTCTGCTTTCCATGTCTGTAAATCTCAACTTTCAATTATGCAAACGTGGATGAAATTTTCTTTTATTTTCTAAGTCTGAATTTTAAAGAACAAAGGTTTTGGCCTCTATTTTGTCAAAAGCAGCTAGATTTTTACTAAAGAGTTAAGCTGTATTTTAGCTATACTTTTTTTTAAAAAAATGTAGCGTATGATTGATGAAAATAAATGCAGTTTGAATCTGTCAGCCTGCAAATTTTTGTGTTAAACTTTTTTACATGTTTATAAACTCATATTTTTTTTTTGCATTTATATGTATAACGACATGAATCTACTTGTGACCAAGGAATAGATGAGCACACTAAGTCTATGGTGGCGCAGTGGTTAGAACACAGTATTGCAGGCTGACTCTGCCCACTGCCAGTTCGATCCTGACTGGCTCAAGGTTGTCTCAGCTTTCCATCCTTCCAAAATGGGTAAATTGAGGGGGAAGCTGATGGTTTCGTGTGAGTAGCAAATGCACACAGCTCCATTTGCACAAACAGCAGGCACCAGTTTGGGGGGGGGAGGTTGGGGACCTCTGCCCTATAAGGTGACTCTTGATAGCTGTATATGACTGGATTCTGAATGGATGATTGTATACTTACTAACAACTCATCATTGACTTGGGTTCATTAGCTTTAATAATTCATCATCAAAATCCAGGAAGCCAAAATTAAACCAACTTCATCAGAAGCATGCTTCCTTATTCCGAGTCAATAACGAGTCTATTTCTTTTTTTTGGAGTATTTGGTAAAAGATGACACCTATTTTTCCCTATTTAGCTGCACATGGCACAAATTTGACTTCAAGAGACCTAACATTTCACCTGTTGGCACCTAGCCACTCAGATTGGCTTGGAAACCCAAGTTTTTCCCTTCAAGAGCAAGAAATAAAAGAAATCACTATTCGGTCATTTGTTCAAAGATGCATTTAATTGCTATTTACACCCATCTGTTTTGAAATCAAGTATATTTTATTACAGTAAATAGTACAGAATGAGGTAAGAACCCTCATACCATTCCTTGTAAGGCAGCTGTAGTCGGATTCATAATGGATGGTTTAATACAGCCAGCTAAAGTTTTGCAGAAAGAACATGGTTTTTAAAAAGGGTACAGGTGAAAAGTTGTCATTGTGCATCACTGTTGAGTTCTTCCCATCCCCTCCCTTCCTTAAAAGTACCAGGGTGCAGACATTTTAATTAATAAAGATACACTGGGTAAGATAAACTGAAATGAACCCTGCATCGTTTCATTCTTCCGAAAGCATAAAAGCTTAAAAGCTGTATCCTGGTTTAGATAGACAATGAAAGCTTGTCATCATCAACACATCCAGTACATAGCTTCTATTTCAACAAGGGTTAACAAGCCTTCCAGATGGCTGGGGTTGCTAGACGAATTTGCACCTTACAGCCAGAAAGGGCAGAGAAAACACAACCTGAACTACAGTTTTACACGGCTGCTGCCCTTCCAACCTGCATACACAGCAGTCTTAGGTTACCAGCAGAGAACAGTTGTAGCTCAGGATTGGGCTGTGGGATCCCTTAGTTGCTCTCTGAGCTTGGCGGTTTTCTTGCAGATGCTTCCTGACCCAGCTAGGTAACATCATCATTGCTAGAAGGAGAGGGGTTTTGCACTGCTGATGTCACCTAGTTTGGTCACGAAACATCTGCAAGAAAACCGCCAAGCTCAAGAGAGCACAAAGGACCCCTAAATCATTCAAAACACACCTACATTCTCCCCTTTTCCCCCTACAGCAACAATGCACCTTGGGCCAACGTGGTAGGGGAAGGAGTAGACCCTCACTAATCCACTTCCAGCCATCTGAGAGGCCAGTCCTTTGACATCCTGCCCCTTGATCATAAGGTCAGCCTTCTGCAATCTTCTTGGCTAAACCAGATAGGAGCAGGTGGCCTCAGGCTGGGGAAGGTAACCTCTTTCCTCCCTGAAGATTGTCATCTGCAGACCTGCTAGGGAAGTGATGGCGACCATTCCTCTTAACACAGTGGCTCCCAACGGTACCAGCGTTGTGGACTGGGGGGAAAGAGGTTCTATGAGAGGAGCAGGCATGCCCGCTTGCAGCTCCATCTGCGCCAGTGGCTGGCACTTGCATGCGCGTGTGGAACTCCATTGGTGCAAATGCCTGCCGCTCACACACAAATGGAGCTGCCTGCCTCTTGGGCAGCCCAGTTCCAAACAGGCCCAGAGGTTGGGGAGCCCTGCTCTAACACGCGGATAGTTTCTCCCACGATCATAGGAACAAGGTTAACACTATAGACTTGAACATTTTCGTATGAACTAGGTTAGAACACAAGGGAAACTGACCCACGGTGCCTGGAGGAAGCTGATGGCACTGAAGCAAGCTTGGCACGCCAGCAGTGTCCATGCCCACAGACGGACAACCATGCGATCCAATGCCTCGCTTGTTCTGCCCTGCCCCTAATACGTCAGGCAAGCCGACCCGTTCAAATTATTTCTTATTATTTCCTCAAAGCAAACTCTAGTATACAATCAGCAGCACTGATTCTTAGCCGAACGAAAAACATGGTTCAAGTTATCAAGATTTAATACTTAACATAATATATATATATATATATATATATATATATATATATATATATATATTATGTTGTTAGCTTCAGCAGGTATTAACCCCAGTTATTTCTTCGTTATATAAGGAATACAAAAATCTATAAAAAAATCAAACGATAGCAAAAAACCCCAAGATTATAATTAAAAAAGCACAGATTGTATAAAATAAATCTTAATTACTATACCCCAATGGAAACCTTTTTTTTAAGACATTGTTAAAGAAAGCACTTAATTTCTCCAATAGACATTTCCATAGACGGTTGCAGTTTCTCGGGTCATAAGAGGGAATTACACTCTGTCTGAAGTTTGACACAATAACTATTATCTACAAGAAGGGCAGGAATCCAGGTTGGGAAATTGATTCTTTATACAAATAAATACAAGACCACCCAAATTGCATAGTGTGTGCGCTTAACTGTCCCAAATTGCAAATCCAAAAGTTTTTCACAGTTCAAAAGACCAAAAGGGGCACATGAAACTAACGTCTTTACCTCTGGGTATCCCACTCTGGCAACTTCTAAGACTTGTGGACTTCAATTCCCAGAATTCTGGGAGCTGAAGTCCACCGATTTTAAAAAGTGGCCAAGGTTGGATACCCTTGGTTCAGTCAATGGCACCATTTCATCAACCACTCTGCTAGGTTTTCCCGGCTAATCCCTCAGCTAAGAGAGGCCTGCTTAAGCAACAGCACACAACGTACGCAAGGTGATTGTAGCCAGCCACAGAGAAGGAACCGCCCAAACCCGAAATGTGAGCATCTTGCACCACTCCAGATCCAGATTTCACACCACTGGGGTGTGGGGTGAGGCACCTCTATAGGAAGGACTGCCTTTTTCTTGGTTCAGGACAAAGAAAAAGTTCCACCTGTCTCACTGGATGCCTCCCAGAGGGATCTTTCCAAGACGCGTCTATGTCCAGGCATATATGGGCTTCCACCCCAAGAATTCTTCTCGAGGGTCATGCTGGCTGTGGAATTCTGGGAGTTGAAGTTCATGCACCTGGAAATGAGCACGGTTGGGAAAGGCTGTCCTAGAGCCACAGGGCTGGCTGACAGCTGGATTTTCCAAATGATGCAGGAGAAAGGAAGTGAGCCCCTTTCCTGGCCCTGCCAAGACCCTCCCCCAGGCAATGGCGGCCTTCATGTTCCTGAGGACCACAAGCCTGAGTCTCCCTCCCCTCCTCTCCCTTTCAGACTCTTCCCCAATTGTGCTATTATTCCTCTGCAAAAGGAAACCATGCCATTAGCTAGTTGACATGACACCACACACTAAATCTGATGCAGGTGCCTGTGGAAGAAGAGTGGAAGACCCCTGATCCAGCTCACCCCCAGATCCTACTCTCATCCAGAAATGTCTCACTATTCACACACGACACTGACTGATGCTTGGGGACATGGGAAAGGGTCTCATTTTGGAGTGGCCCATGCAAAATTTAGGAGATTGCTGGCCCACAGGAATTAAATCTCCTGTTCTAGAACAGGAGTCCCCTATAGCTTGGTCACTTTAAAGACTTGTGGGCTTCAATTCCCAGAATTCCCCAGCCAGCATGCTTGAAGACAGGGGCCTCACAAACTTGGCCACTTAAGGCTCGTGGACTTCACCAGGCCAGTCATGATGGCTGGGGAATTCTTGGGAGTCGAAGCCCACCCGTCTTACAAGCGGCTGAGTCTGGAGGCCCTTGTTCTAGGACCTGAAGGAGAATCGCTGCCCCTTTTGGGTGGGACTTTCATTTCCAGGATTGTGTCTTTAATTTTGCTCCTGGAGGGGGGAAACCAAGGTAGGCAGCTCTACACTCAACAGAGGTGAGGCCGTGCTCACCAGTCCCCCCCCTCCCCCCAACACGTTCCCCCCTCCCCACTGACTTCTGGAACAGCTTGGATCCGAGGTGTGGAAAAGTACCGTTGGGGGAAAAGAATCCACAGAAGAGGTTCTGGCTAGATTCAAATTAAAATATAGTTATGGCTCAGATCCTATGGCTCAAGGAGAGAAGCACAACAAAACATCACAAAAACCCACTTAAGTAGCCACGGTTGCAGAATGGCCAGGTGTAACAAGCGGGGGGGGGGGGGGGGGGGGGGGACGAAAAAGGATGCGCACCCTGTCCCAACAATTCACTCACCCACACTCTACACTAGAGTAAAACTCTGTGGACAAAAATTCACCCTTTTTCCCCAGCTGTAGCCATGGAAATGCTTTCTTTAAGGCAGGAAGTATTTAAGTTAAGGTAAAGTTACCTTTATTTAATTCTTTGTACCTGTGACGGTATAGTCATTTGTGTACAGGTTTTCTTTCTTTCTTTTTTTCCTCTTCAATAACAATCGCAGAAACATAAATAGCAAGTCTTCTCAACATTTCCTAAAATCAAAGTTGCAAAAGTTCTCTGGAAGACATTCATCGAAGGCCATCGTAATACTTGTGTGTTTCTGGGTTTTTTTCTTCCTTTTTTCCCCTCAATACAATCAACAGATGGCTTGCCCCAACAGAGAAGTTATACGGTCGTCCGTTACAGAGATGAACAATGGAACAATTATGGGGTAAAACTATCTCTTCTGAGCATTACCAATCGGCTGCAACACCAAGGGAAATGTGCAGGTTCTTATTTTTATTTAAAAAAAA